CGAGTGAATGAAACTATTTTCCGTTCTGAAAATCATGGTATGCACATTATTTAATCACCTGTTCATAGCGAAGTAGTAGCAGGAACTACAATTTTGTATGTCGTAATCAGACCAGATAATAAAAATAATTGTTACCTATGGGATACATAAGGTTAGCTGGAAGTTGGTAAGTATTGCTTGGACTATTGGGTAATAAAAGTAAAGCTTATACCACATCTGTTCCATAAAAAAAATATTTATTTGTATGAAAGGCAACAAAAAGGTCAAACAGCAGCAAGGAGTTCAGGAAGGTTTTGAATTTATATATCAATAATTTTATATTAAACACCTCAATGTTCTGTTTGATATCATATTAAGTAAACAATCTTTGGCGTTTCCATGACGCTCCACAAGGAATATCAATGACGAAACATTTAACTATATATAATTACATATATATCTGTTGATCCGGTATATCCGATAGCTGCTTATTAAATTATTTAATCGCCAACCAACAGCCTTTCGCAAAAGTTTCCGTTTATCAATGAAATGAGCTGCCGAGCAACGGGGTTAACGGTTCAGTTTGTTACCTTTAGCTCAAAGCCCCAAGCCCACGCCCCCAGCACGTTGTCTTTATTTAATTAGAAATTTATTGACCTCATGTGTGCTTGCTAATTAAAATTATTGCATATAATACGTTAGCTTTTGTATACCACCATGTATTCATTGAGAATTTATAGGGTATATTCGTTGAGTAATAGGCTAACGATATACGATATACGATATACGATATACGATATACGATATACGATATACGATATACGATATACGATATACGATATACGATATACGGTATACGATATACGATATACGATATACGATATATAACGATATACGATATACGATATACGATATACGATATACGATATACGATATACGATATACGATATACGATATACGATATACGATATACGATATACGATATACGATATACGATATACGATATACGATATACGTTATACGATATACGATATACGATATACGATACACGATACACGATACGATGTACAATCTTCGCCTCTTTTAACTCATATGTAGAACAAGCTTGCACACCTAGAACAAGCTGGCAAAACATTTTCAAATTTTTACTTCAGTTTTTAAGCCAACGTGCATACACGGTATCTCAGCGTCTAGCACACACGTCCACTCTCACTTGCCTTTTTTTATTAGTGTTGGGCAACATTGTTTTGTGGTATCTATCAATTAAGCCAGTTATTTGCCGGCTAATAACGCTGCACTTTTGGAGCACGACTTAATACGACGCAACGCGTTAGTGTATGTAGGGTATGTAGGGTATGCTGATTTCTGATAGATGTGAAATTGAAATGTTTGAAGCATATGTCTCACCTTGGCTATAAATCAAAAGCGCGCATCTGCATAGACGCGAAAATGTATAAATATATTAATATACGAATTATTATTAGTGGTGAGTCCAAAGAGCGTTTCGCCATGGTCTAACTGGAGCTATGCGACGGCGGTAGCTAGATTGTTTCAGCGCGTATATTTATCACCAATGTTGGCCAGCTGTTTTGGCGGCTTTATTAACTTCCGACAGCCGGTATCGCACCAAGACCTAGACCTAGACATTGAAAACAAAGATATACGAAAAACACACTAACAACAATGCCGGCTATAGATCCGGCTCATGCCAAAAAAAAAAAAAAAAAAAAAAAACAGTCGAATCTCAAGCTAAAGCCTTAGACTAAATCGTGTTCATTATGAAAACCGTTAGCAACAGCCACCACTGCAATGTCATCCTGCTGCCATTGAGTCACAGTTGCTGCGACTCTGGCCAACATGGCCACAATAATCAAGTGGCAGAGGTCAAGCGCACTTTAAAGAACAATTTCGGTCGTGTTAATTTGTCGCAATTTGATTCTTTGTAATTGTGTTTCGCTCTCCAGTTGGTCAATTGTTGTTGCACGCGCACACTTCAATGGCATAATTAAGATTTTTTCATTTTCATTTTCATTTTTGTCCATTTACATTGAAACATACATATATACAACATATATGACAAACCCGATCTCGACCTCGCCAATGTTAAAGCTGCACGTCCGGCCAGGCAAGCAGCATAGCCAAACTACATATATGAAGGGTTTTGCGTTCTTGTTAACACGTAGCCTTTTGGCCAAGACTCCGATATCTTGATCTGAAATCTTTACAGGTATTTACACGTGGAGATCAATAGCACTTTGTTGTTGAATGCCACACACAAACACACACACGCACACACACATATATGCCGCAAGACTGTGTGCATTTGGAAAAAACTGGCTTGGAAACATCGATAGCTAGAAGATATGAATGGGCAGACGAAGCTTATAATTAGATTTGAGCTAACAAAAGCGACAGCTGGGGAATGGCTTATATTATGCCAAATTCTTGTTTTCTATTTGCGCTCTTCCTCATTTTCGTCTCATACCTAATTTATTATTGGCTTAGAAGTAGTTTCTTTTTTATATAAATTAGAAAAAATTATAAATTGAAATTTCGGGAAACCGATTTATAGCATTTATTTTGTAATTTTAAAACTTTTGCTATCTAGATTGGTTCATAGTAAATTTTACATATGTCGCATTCCACAACAAACTACTTTTATTCCATAGTACTTTAATGGTTTTCCAATCATCTGAACCAGTTTTCAAATTCCAAATGGTTTTTTGTTGATAGGTCTTAAAAAACATAAAACTTCTCAGTTGTATATAAGAAAAGCCTAAGCAATATAGCGCAGCTTGTTTAAAGTCTAAAAGATTCTATCACTGTCCAAGTTGATAGCCATTTCGTAATCAAGAATCAGATAATGAAACTGAATTTACTAAGTCTTATTAACAAATCTTTGGCTTAGATGATATCTCGCTGATAACTTAAGAGTCTTTAATAATATATATATATATTTTTTTTAATTGCTGTTTTTATTTGCAATCAATCCATATATTTACCTACTTTACATATTTATCTATTTCTGTGGGGCAGGTCTAGGACATTAAATCTTTGAAGTCGCCTATGGTTGTTTGAGTCATCCAGTAGTCTTAGTGCTAGAGCATTATCGTCTTTATGTAGCTTATTCATGTATCTTTTTGCATATAATTGTATTTCTTCTTTAACAAGGCGCAGTTTAACATCTTTGTGGATATTATAATTAGTCACATACCAGGGTGCACACATCATTCTGAGCGTCTGGTATCGCTGTATAATTTCGATATTAGAATTACTAGCAGTACCCCATAACTGCAAAGCGTAGGTCCATACTGGCTTCAGGTCGGTCTTATATAGCATTAATTTGTTCCCAAGACTAAGTTCAGAACGTGGTCCTAACAGCCCGGTTTTCACCTTAAGCTGCTCTTGTTTCGATTTGATGGGCTGCTTGCAAGTTAGCCGCCGATCAAAATGAACCCCTACGTATTTTACCGATTGACTAACAGGTAGGTATAGTGTGACTGCAGGACAACTTCCAGATCTCGCGTGTTCACTATTATTCTCCGCTTTTGAAGTCATACTTCAATCAGTCCGAGTTCTTCATGGAGTAATAATACATAATATATATATATTTTTAATAGTATATAATATAATAATATAATATATAATATAAATAAATATAATATATAGGAGTTTTACTTTCATAGTTTCAAGTGCTTATCCTTCAAATGACAACATGTTCCTACAGGCTCTCAAATATGTTGAGTATCTTGATAAGCTGAATTGTTAGAACTATTCTGAAGACAACACATTAACAACTTCCTAAATTCTATGTTCTTATTCTTGATTAGTTAATCCTGCTGTCCTATGTGGGCAACTTGTTCAGTCTGTTTACCATTAGCGACAGTTATTAATAGGACCAGCTAATAATGAAACGAACTATGCAGTCATTAGCTGGAATTATATATAATATATATAAATACATATATGTATCTATAAAATTATGCATACATATCCACATATAAATTTATGTTCATGCAAATAAAGAATTGAAATATTTTGAATATGCATTAAACCTGTTCCTGAATGTCAATAATTAATGTTTTTGTTAGTTTAAAGCTTTAGTTAGTTAAAGCAACTAGTTGTACTTAATTGCATTTAAGTAAAACATAAGTGACCTGATTTTTATTGTATACTTAAGAACACAGTTTATATTTAAAGTTTATACATAAAGTTTCAAAACAATTAAAAAGAAATAAAAAATGTTTAAAAAAAATTTTTTTTTAAAAAATTTTTAAAAGAAACAAAATGTAAATAATAAATTTTTTAATATCTTGTATCAATATGTTAAACAAATGTTTTTTTCCTAAACTTCTCATTATTTGCAAACACCGAAAAATATAAATTTTATTTGAAGAAGTTTTTATTGCGTATTGTATTGAAGTGAAGGTCGCAGATCTTTTAGTTTTTGCTTTGAGCGAAACTAGTTTATGAAGACCAACCCCTTTGCTTTGTAGTACATTGACCCATAAAAACTGCAATCTGGACAGTGGTAGTGATATAAGCCAAGCTCATAATATGAGAACAGCAACAGCAGTAGCAGCAACAACAGCAACTGCAAAGCAGAATGGTATTCGGAACTTGCTAAATCAGCTAACACCAAAGCGTGCGCTCAGTGGGCCAATCGAAGCCGCACACAAGCACATACAATAAGAAGCGCGCAAGAGGCAAACACAAATACACACAGACACTCGCACACACACACACGCGTATACACAATTGGCAAATTTAACGAAACTTCCGCCGTTCTGTGCGGCTGTTCAAATCGTTCGTTAAGTTTTCAAGCTTAGGCCAAGCCAAGCCAAGCCAGCCAATCTAAGTGTATTCGTATGTGTGTGTGGGTATGTGTGTGTAGACTGAGGTACATACCCGTGCTACTTGCAAAGCCGCTGCTTGCGTTGGCGTCGCTGCTGACGCTGCTGCTAAAAAAACTTACTTTATCTTGTGATTGCTGAGAAGTTTTAGATTCAGTTGAGCATAAACATTTCTACGGTGCGGTTCAAATTTGGTGGCTAAGAGCATCAAATGCGTTGCAGTGCGTGCTAAAAAGATCAAAACGAGAACACTTCAATCAAAACAATATATATATAACTATCGATATCTATATATATATATATACATACAAAAAGTGTTGTGCATTTGAGCCCAGTTGGCCAAAAGTTGAGCGCAAATCGAGCTAAGTGACAGCATGACGTTAGCTGCTAACAGCTAACAGTAACTAAGAGCCTGTTAAACTAGCTACATCTATATAGAATAAAGATATCTGTACACAAATATATATATATAAATAAGTATAACTGATCTTAGCTGATAATATACACTGCTACAAAATGGCTATGCAATATCACAACTACAACAGCAGCACGCGCTACGAGATGGTCGTCGAGATAGCCAATATTGCACTGGATGAGTTCAAGACCCATCATCTCAGTCGCAACTACACGGGCTTAGTGCAGCGCTATTACCAGCTCGTCGAGGAGGATTACGGCGGTAGGTGTACAAGCAAACGTGAAATGCACTTTTGCAGTTAGCCATATCAAATGTGGGCTAAAAGCAATAAAAAACCATATGCAGGGGGGATATGGAAATTATAGCAGCCCTCATAAAGTGTTGGCTGATGTCATTGGGCGTCTATCTATCGAGTAAGCTCCGGGAAGTTGAAAGCTGAGAGTCCAAGCCACCTCGATAGGCGCTGCCAGATTACGCTCAAAACTATGAGAAGCATAAAAAACACGATGATTTGCCATTTTGGGCACACAAAACACAAAAATTGGCAAAAGCAACCAAAGTGCAACAACAACGCGAAGAGACAACCTAAACGAAACTAAAAATAACAAAATTTACTTCTAGGACAATTAAAAAAGGTTTCTTTTGTGTATTTAATGGCAACCTTGGCAATGCCAATTGTTTATGTATATCCATACACATATATATATATATATCCATATAAATATACATATATTTTTTTTGTGTGTTTTTTGACAATTATTAACGTAATTAAAATGTATTTACATAGTTGATCTTAAACATTTTTTTTACGAGGCGACCGTCGTCGTCTTCGTCGTCGCGTTGTTGTGTGTGCAGCTGAGCATGGTACAGCACATACAATATGTATACATACGCATCTACAACAGCAGCAACAACAACAAACAGCAATGATCATAACAATAACATTGGCGAAGATGATGCATGTGCCATATGTACTTACAATACGATTTATATGCTCGTTTACTTACCTTCTTCTTCTACGTTTTTTAAATATTTTTTGTTAGTTTTTTGGTTGTTCGTTTTCGTTTTCATTTTCGTTTTAAAACGTGTTCGCATTTGCCCCGCATATTGACATTCTTGACTGCCGCGAGCGGGTGAAAAGGTCAATGGAAGGTAGCAGCAATTAAAAGCAATGCAAATAATGTATATAGATGCCAGCTGAGCCATACCAAATATATATATATATATATATATATATATATATATATATATATATATATATATATATATATATATATGAATATATATATGAATGCGAATGCCAAATTTGTGCAAAAACACTAAAATAATTGAGGAAAACAAATTTAAAAACAAAAGACTTAGAACACAAACTTGTTAGGATATTGTGAAACAGTTTGTTTGTTGAGCTAATTAGAAGTGTTTAAAGTGTGAAAGAACATTAATTGGGAAGTGACTTTGAGGAAGAAGAAGAGCTAGAATATAAACAGCTATATATATAGATAAAGCTATCGATTTCAATGAGAAAAGATACAAATTTAGTTAAACATGAGCTCAGACATTGTTATAGAAAAAATATAAACTTAGAAAAATATAATAAATAATCATTAAAGACGCGATTTAAGAAAATATATCGAATCAAATATACAAAGATATTTTAATACAAGTATATATGTGTAAAATTAATTCATATGTGACTATATAATAAATAGAACAACATGAAAAAAATTTAAAAAAAATGTTAATAGAATAATATAAAAATATTTTAAAAAAAATATTTGAATAGAACAGTAAAAAATATTTAAAATAAAAATAAATATTTTAATATTTATATATTTCAATATTTAAAAATAAAATATTTCGATGCATACACATATATAACATATATATCTATAATATAAAAAACTCAAACAGGAAAACAGAAATGCAAAAGCCAACACTAATTTATTTATAATTTGGCAATAATTTGTATTCAAAATACATTTTTGAGCTCTTGGTAATAGATTGCACAAAGCAAATAGATAAACGGAACAAATAACTCTTCGCATATGTGAATTGGAATTGGACAAAGAAATTAATGTTAGACTTTGTTGCTTTTGAACCGTCCATTTATTAAGCTAAACAATGCGGCAAGGAATTCAAAAACTGAAATCAAACTTCAAAGCAATTGAAAAAAAAACCAGATTAAAAACAATTTAATGAGTAGGAAAAGTTTCAGAACGGAAAAAAAGTGAAAAAGTAAACAAAATTCTTGTGATTAGCTGCAGAGAAATATTCATAATGGAATATTTAATTGTTATTTGTAAATGGGGTTCACTTGTAATCCATAATGAATACGATCTATGACGACATTGCTAGACTCTGTCTGCGGTCCTAACTAAGTCAGTTATAGTAAGCCCAGTGTAGTTCCATTTGAGTTCGACTAGAAAATCCGGTTTAGATTAATGCGCTTGTTGTTATTGCTGCTGTTGTTGTTATTGTTGTTGCGGTTGTATTCGTCTAAAACCCTAAGTACGCCTATTGAGTAAACAAGATAATTGTCCACTTGAACCGAGCATTACACCTCAATAGAAATGAACACACAACGGGCCGGCAAATTGTGTTTAGTTTTTATTTTAGCTGGCCACGATTTCATTCATTCGTGCAAATTGGCACTGGCTTCGAGATTGAATTCATAGATTAATCAAGTGACAATAATTAAATGCCATTGACTCGACAGTAAAATTGGGAATATAAATACACAAATATGTTAATATAAATCAATATATACTTATTTATCTATTTATTTATTTTTCTTCACAGATCCGCGCGCGGAACGCTTTCCGCTTATGGAGCATCCGCTGTTCACATTCGGTCTGGTTGCCATTTATCTGTCCTGGGTGCTGGTGCTGGGTCCGCTGTTCATGCGCGATCGCAAACCCTTCCAGCTGCGCCGCACACTCGTCATATACAATGCCTTCCAGGTGCTGCTCAGCGGCTACATGTTCTACGAGGTGAGTTCTCGTTTTGGCACACGGAAGTAACTCTTATCTATAAATATTTCATGTTTTTATCATTTTTGTCATTCCTCTTATTTTTGCAGCATCTAATGGCTGGCTGGCTGAACAATTATAATTTGAAGTGCCAACCGGTTGACTATTCAGATGGACCCATGTCCAAGCGGGTAAGAGACAAACTTAATTTGAAATTTTAATCACGTTTATGAAACCTAAAAGGAGTCTATGGACTCAGCATAAAGCTCTTTAAATGAAACTTGTTTTAAGATGCTTAAACAAATTACTTGACTAGACTTTGCTGCAATAAAGAACTTTTTATTAGACAAGTTTAGAGACTTGTGCGAAGGACGCCTCGGAATAGATTGAAAGAAACAGTTTTCTGAAAATAAAATATATTTCAATAGTCACGCCCACTGATAGATCTTTAAAGATACATCTAGACATATCTAACTGCTAAAAAGTAATATTCAAATTCCAAATCTCTCTAGAAGCAAGTGTAGCGAGTATTAAGCAGTCGTAACGTCCCTGCTAAGTTATGAATATTAACATTTGATTTCAGTTTCATTTGGCTTCACTTGTTTTGTTGTTGCTGCCGTCTGCGCAACAAGTTCGTTGGCTCTGGATGAGTCACGGACCCCAGTTGAGTTTCAAGTTCAGCCAAAGACTTTTTTGACCAGTCATGTCAGCTTTTTTATTTCTTTGTGGGCAAGATTAGCGTAATTATGACGTTGCCAAAAGCTGAGTTAAGTCCAATTGAAAAGGCGTTTCAGTTCTGGACTAATCAACAAATGAGCATTTAGTTACGCCTGTCGATCTCATTGTTTTGCTGCCTGTCAAAACTCTCAAGCAATTCAAAAGCATTTAAATAAATAATTAGCTAATACGCCATTTCAGTTTAAATGCATAATTTGCCAACGATTTCTGTAAGCCATAAAAGCCAAAGAGCTGCGTTAAATTGTACTAAAAAGTGCAGCAAACCCAAAGCCCACAAATACAGCGACTTACAAAGCCAAGGCTATGGTTTTATATGTTTCTTATGTTCGAGCTGTCAAATTAACAACTCTTGTCTAAAAAGATAAGCCTAGTTTTTGCTTTTGTTCGAGCCGCAAATCAGTGTGGCTCATAAAATGTGGTCCAAGTCATAAACTGGGCTTAAATTTACAACTTTCAGCCCAAACAGCATAATCCTTCACACGCTGATAAATTTGACATCCGCTTAGAAAGAAACGACCAAATAACGATATAGTTAATATTTATGTGGCATTTGCGAGTCTGTTTACATTGCGCATACGCCGCATGAGCCGCACGACAAACATGCCAAACGAAGTTCTTGGCCTGAAAATATGATCCACGTGCTTGGCGATAAGCTAGCCAAAATAATATAGCCTTGCCAATAGCTAAGACTCTTCTCACTCTCTCTCTCTCTCTCGCCCTCGCTCTCTTTACAGATGCTCAATCTATGCTACATTTACTATCTGTCCAAGTTAACCGAGTTCGCCGACACCGTGTTCTTTGTGCTGCGCAAGAAATCTTCCCAAATTACCTGGCTGCATGTCTATCATCATTCAGTAACCCCACTGGAAACCTGGGTGCTGGTCAAATTCCTGGCAGGTAAGTAAACCCAGTAGCAGTGCACAAATTCTAGCTAACTTACGGCTTACTCGCTCAGGCGGCAATGCGACATTCCCCAATCTGCTGAACAACTTTGTGCATGTGTGCATGTACTTCTACTACATGATGTCCGCCATGGGACCGGAGTACGCCAAGTTTCTGTGGTGGAAGAAATACATGACCGAGCTGCAAATCGTAAGTGTCGCCGCGTCATTATCAAATATGTTCCAGCATAGTTTCCACACATTTATATATATAAATTACTATATAGAAACTTGTTTAGAAGTTTTATCTTAGTCGAAATATGCTGCGGCAGAGCAGCATAGCAAACCTGTTAGACCTGACCGCCGGCACACAAAATGCGATTGCCAAAAAAAAAACAAAAAAAACAGCAAAATATAAACCACAAAAAAAACCACATTACTTAATGCTTCTAACTGTGTCTTGCAACTGGCCAGGCCAAGTGACACTCAGCTGCAAGTGGAAGTGGTTTGTGCTTAACACACACACACTCATAGGCAGGCCAACTGGCAGACAGCCTCTCAGTCAAAGCTGAAGTCAAAGGCCAAGCTAGCAGATTTGCAGTATTTGTTTTTGAATGCCCGTTCAATGAAAGTGAAAGCGAGTATATTTGGACATAGTTGTTTAGCTTAGGCTACTCTAGAAACTTGAAAAATTGCAGCCTGGTTATTGATCGGATACTTATTTGACTAGATTCAGTTTTGGTTGGTTTTGAGCTTGAAATATTCTGTATAGATTTTACAGCTCCATTTGAAGGCAGAATACTAAAACTTGTGACATATAAATGTTTATATGTTTGCTTTATAATAAATTCTATAGCTGAGCTTTATGAAAGCCGAGTTCAGTCTATGACAGCCGTGGAGTTCTAAGAGTCTAGATTTATATTCTTGCGTCTTACAAAATGCTTGAACCATAAATCATACAGCTTAGCCAACTGCACAAACACATAACTTTCATAGTTTAAGTGTTAACTGTGGGCGTGGCACATCAATAATATAACTATGTGTTTGACAGTCCACAAAACTTGAACCAATCCATTTGGCAACGACTCTGACTCGGCTCTGCCTCGCTGCATCAGCTGAGCGCGTATGCAGCAGTTGAGAGCATTGCTTCGATTAGTGTTTTTGTTGTCGTGTGTCTTGCATAATTGGAGTCCGTTATCGACATCGTGGCTAAGATCATCGAGTTCATTGCGCCGTTTGTCACTTTCGTTCGTTTCCAACGCCCCAAGTTTGTTCTACGACCTGCTTAACAAAAAACGACAACTATTTAATGTTCACAAAAAAACAAGTATGCTGACCAGTTAAGTGGGTTTCATTTTCAATATTTAATTTTGTTGCTGTTATTGTTGTTGTTAATTTAAAGCTTGATTTTACTTTCAGCTTTAGTTTTAGATTTCAATTGGCTTTGCGAGTCTTTCCGTTTTCTCAGTGGCGATGGCATTTGCGCCACTCCACTGATTTTCCGTGCAGTTCTTCTCATATATATTTACACATATATATGTGCATGTAATTGAAAGACCAATAGACATACACACACACACATATGGCATGGCATTCGACTGCAAATACGTTTTCATGGCAGTATTTCAATGTTTCGAAATTCTTGAAACGCATAAAACTTGGCGAGTTTTAGTTAGTTCTGCTTCTGTAGTTAGTTAGCTGTTATTGTTGTTGTTATTATTGTCGCTGGCCCGCTTCTAAGTGTTGTCTGTGTGTGCGTGTGCGTCGCCTTGAGGTTCACTGAGTCTCCACAGTTGACTTGTCAAACGTTCGTTCGTTCATTATAGATGTGCGCGTGTCACGACCCGCGCAAGACACTCATTTTGCCTAACACATATGTAAACATGAACAACTATTCATCCTGACTAAGTTAGGTTCAACACACTGCCTTAACCCAGGAAGTGAACTGCAGCTAATTCGCACGCCGTAGTTAATTGGCCTTACGCATTGCCCAAAGACATTGTAGATTTTTACTAAAAGGTGCGAATTATAGGTAAATAATGCATTTATTCAATATTTCTTCAGAAATGTGGTTTTGAAATCTGTTTGTAAACTGTTTCACACTTTAGGTAAACAAAAATCTTTAAGTGAAAAATATTTTTCAACTATTATGGCTTTAACAAAACTCGAACAAAATATTTAATTTACTTAGAATATTTCTCTAAAATGTATTTTGTAATTTTAATTAATTAATTTTTGTACGTAAAAGTTATTTATTATGTAGGCTTATAATTGGCAATATATTGATAAAGATTTTTTTTTAAATTTCTAAAACTAATTTAAATTTACAAAACTAATTTATTTATTAGCTTTTATCTAAAAATTCAAAAATAATATTTTATAAAATATATTTCCAAAATTTTTACCTTTAAAATTTCGTATAAATATTATTAAAAAAGAAATAAAGCTAATTGCTGAAAAAATATAATATATTTATATAAATATGAATTATATATATACAATTAGCTTTATCTCGCTTATTTCAATTTTTTTTTAATTTCTGTAACTTCTCAGATGTTCAGAGTTTGTTTTAAAACTACTCCTTGATGTATACAAAATTTTAAAATATTTTCTGCATGCTCTGCGGTTAATAATATGAGATATTGACTTCATATTTAGTTTAGTATTCGACTGCGCGTTCATAATTAATAATTAATTTACTTAGAATATTTCTATGTTTATAAGACTAGATATTTATAGATATTTAGAGACACGATACAAGCTATATATTCATGAAGTCTGCATGTCATATAGCATTACTCCGCTTTTTTGATATCTAGAATCTTAGCTTACTATAATCTTGTCACACTCAGAAATCTGAATTGTTTCTAGAATTGTCGCGGGCGTGACACGCCACACGCCGCACGCTCAGCTCTAATGCAAATAGATGAAAATTGACATTAGACAAGCTTCTACATACGCTCGCCTAACATACATATATACAAGTATACTAGATTGTTTATAGATATAGACATACGCCTTCGGCTTCGCCCGATTCTTTCAGCGCAGGTTGACATTTTATTTTTGTAATGAGACGGCAATCAAATGCAAAGTGCATAAACAGATAAACATGGGCGCATCGGTCGCATAATTTGGCAGCCACTGTTGCAGCAGCAGCAGCAGCAGCAGCAGCTCTGTTAGCCACAAACGGCAGCCGCAACAATATAAACAATAAAAATAGCACACAGTCCAATTTGGTAATAAGCGAACAAGTTTAAGTTCCAATTGGCCAATGCTGGTCACTGCCGCCGTTGCTGTTGCTGTTGCTGGCAGCTATTGCCCGCTTTTGTTGCAACATCCCAGTGTTTTGGCCGCTGCGCCAATTCCACAAATTGCCACATTTTCGCGCGCTACGATCCGACCAGTTTCGATTACATTATCTTTGGTTTGGCATTCGCCATTTGCCGCCGTGTTCCGTTTTGCGGCAATGAATGCTCGGTGCTGCAGCGTTCACTTTTATGCGCCACAACGAACTTGCCACACCATGCGCAAAGTCTATGCCACTCTATGTGGCTCTGTCTGTTTCTGTGTGTTGTGCCTGTTTCTGGGTAAAAGTCAACCGGCAATTTGCCACTTTCAGTTTCCTTACGCCTGTCGCCCGAACAAGTCGCCCCAAACACTCGTTCACGTTGCAAGTGCAACTGCAACTGCATTTATAATGCCTGCTGCCTCATAGATCTCGCTCATTGTGCAACCAATTGTGCAGATGACGCCGGCGCCACAGCTGCCCCAGCTGTCCAGCTGCCACAGTGGTATTCAAATCCCAATCCTTAACAATTATTCAAATTCGAATTGATTTCTGAATTTCTAAGTGCAAACAGGCCACGACTCACAGCTTCCCACGTCTAAACAGTTAAGTTCTGTTTGCATTATAAATCAGCTACGCAGCTCGTTATTATAGACGAGTGATTTATAGCCTAAGTGAATTATGCAAAAGGCTAAAGCAAGAAATTGGCATTTATTTATAATAAACAATCTTAAGAAATCAGGAAAAAATCATTTTTATTGCTCTTGCAACTGCAACGCAAAGCTCAGCTAAGCATATAGTTGCTATATTTTCAATTAGAATTTAAAGTCTGTATAATATAGATATATTTGTCAGCTTCCCTCAACTGCTAATTGATCAATCTTTACAGTAGTTCAACAGTTGCTGACTGATCAAATTTTTGATTTCCAGCGGTCTTCTTTTCATGTTTCAAGTCTCTTTCTCTTCTCTCGTTTCCATATTGATAAAATCTTCTATTTTTTTACAATATATATCTGCTTGCCCATGCCTTCTGTGAGCTTCTCATGAAAATCTCAGCACTTTATAAAAGTCACATATTTCAAGCCTCTAACTTTTATAGCAACGAAATGCTTTGCATTTCATTAAAGACGTCCAGACAGCTGGACAGCCGTACGAGCAGACGCTCAAAAGCAGCACAAATAAATGCTCTTATATTATATTTTAATATAATTTTATTAGGCAATTATATTACTAACTGAGTCTAAGGCAAGCTTATGGCCGCATGCAGCTAATTAAAATTTTTTAGTGGCCAAAATTAAAAAGAAATATTCAAGAATAAATTTTCATAAAAATTTGCAAACTTGTGCTTGGTACAGTTGATCCAGTTATGTTGATAGCTAACCAGCGAAACTTCGTGTTGAGATCTCTGATTGGTTCTACACAACAAAACTTCTAGTTGAAAATTCTGCTTTACTTTAGCTGCTAGCAAATGCTAGATGCTGTAATATATATGAAAAGAAATCGTTTATACACAGCTTGATATGAGATAATCCCAATTAGTTGTAGCTTAACCTAAGTCACGACACAGCTCAAAAGTTCTATAATTTTAGTGGTAAGGCAAATCTTTTCAAAAGAATATATAAACGCCCGGCCAATGACTGTTTTCTAGCTGCTTCCGTTTTCATAAAGGCCAACAATTATCTTTAACATGTTTCACTATGCCATTCTTTTCATACACAAGCACAAGCACTTGTGCCCACCGTGCACTCAAATGCACTTGTACAAACACACACACACACACACACACAGATGTAGACAATTGCATTGGCGTGTGTAATGAAGCGTTTAAGCGTTGATGCTAGCTTCAAGCCAAAACCGTATTTGGCCAAAACGAGAAAAAAAGTCGACTGGCTTTTTGGCCACAGCCAACTGCTGGCCCAGTGCTGTGTCTGTGCTTCGTGTTGTTGGCTGCGCTGACTTTGCAGCGTTTTGTGGTGCTGTGTTAATGGAAACTTGCAGCGCTTGGTTGACCAACAACATGTGGCTCGTTCTTTGTAGGTCACCAAAAAGCGCAACAAAAACAGCAAAAAAAATCAAGAGAGTAAAACCCCAACTTACTGGGCGGCTTGTGGGCGTGTGCGTTGCATTCGCTACGCTGCTGCCCATCGGTTTAGCTAATTGAAATATGAATAATGCATCATTCAATTGCCTGCTAACAATATCAATAGAAGTAATCTTAATTGGTGGGCTACATCGATCGCAAACACTTAAGAGGTGTCACAGAAAAGGTCAATGGAAGCAGCTATCGAAAGACTTAGACAACAAACTTGCTAGTCAAAGTCAGCGCCAGACAAACAGGCAGCCAGACATAGAAGCATACTTAACTATCTATCACATAACAGTTATTAACACAAATTGCTCTATCAGAGTGTTTCTTAATGCAGCCAACTATACAATATATACACTCAGCGAAATTACAGTCCAGTCTAGTCTTAAAGTATATTGTTTATGAGTCAGTTAATGCTATTTGTCTACAGATTTCGTTAATTTAGTTCGATTAAACATTCAAATGTCATTGAAGCAATCTATGTCTATGTTGATACCCTGTAATTACTGAAAATGTCAAAGAAGTGTATTAGCTTACAGACAAAAGAAGGCATGTTTCAGCTAGGGTATATAGTCTGTGTGCATCTGTCTGTATATCTGTCTAACTGCTACTTTGTAGAGTTAGGATATGTTCTAGTCGGGCACTGCCAACGAAAGTCGCCTCAACTGACAGCTTAAGCAACAACTAGAATTTCGTGGTCATTCAGGATATTTCTTTCAGTGTATGTCTGCTTGACATTAGCAAACAAACAACTGAAGCTGCGCTTGTGAACGCATTTTGATTACCATTGCCACGCTCAAGGGTGATTATGGCCCATGAAACGCGCAATTTCCCATTTGATTTTCATTTCGCGAGCAATTAAAATATTGCGGCGCCTGGCTACGTTTTCAGGGTTAGCCTTTGCTGTGTTGCTATTCGCAAAGAAAGCGTATCTCAACGAGAAAGCAGCAATAATAATAGATATGACAAATTTCAGATAGGAGCAGTAGAAGCAAGGAAAAGTTAAAGCTTAATTTATATAATGAATATATATACATATATATAATGAAGTAGACCTGACCATTATTGTAGTTAAAGTTTTGGGGAGAATTGAAATGTGCAAAATAAAATTTATATTAATTTTTTTTTTATATTTAAGGTATTTTCACATATCTAACTTTATTTCTTTTATATGGACATCACTGAATAGGGCCTTTAAGCGCTTCAACTTATATCTTTTAGTATCAGATACATTTCGGGGAATATTCAATTTTTGCATTTGTATCTTTATATTTCTCTTGCTTCTCGTTTACCTTTGTCATATTTGAAATGTTTGTGTCTTGCTGCATTGTTCCAAGGCAGATTAGTCTAACGATACAAGAGACACGATCGAAAATGCCTAAAAATAACAAAGTGGCATAAATAACAACATTTTTATATATACGATGTCTGTACAAAAATTTGGTGTTTTTTTAGATAAATCTCAAATATGTTCTCTTTCACTGTTAGCTACATCAGATACTTTACTATCGTGGCAATATTTTTCCAATTCTCGAAACACTTCATAAAAAAAAATTGTTTGTGTTCTTGTTCAGCTCCTGCTTGAATGTTGTCTTAATCTTCTTCAACGTTGCATAGTCTCGTCCTCTTCTGGGCCTCTTCGGTTTGGGGAACATAATATAGTCACAGGTGGTAAATGGGTTTGGTCAACAAATTGCTAGAGATTCTTAGCCCAAAGTAAAGATCAAAACATGGAATGAAGAACAGGAATATATAGCTTTCGATGATTGGCAAGAGTTAGCAAAAAGAAGTGCATTTAAGCTTTAGCTATCTATTCATTTGCTGTTCTCCTTCAATTACTATGCAGGCCACGCCCACGCCTTCAGCTTGCAAATTCCCACTATACAAAAAAGATGTCAATTTTCTCGTTAACTTCACACGCTGCACACAGCACGCAAAACACATCCTAAACATATGTGATTATTGAATATTATTTTAAGTATATATAATAATGTTTCTCTATCTCTCTCTCCCTCCCTCTCTCTGGTTACAGGCACAGTTTGTGCTTTGCATTGTGCACACCACGCGCGCGCTCTTCAGCAATCAGTGCCAGTTCTCGAAGTTTATATCGGCGCTGTTGCTGCTCAATGCCTCCATATTCTTCTGCCTCTTCATGAACTTCTACATGCAGAGCTACAGGAAGACCAAAGCGCAACAGCTGCAGCAGCAGCAGCAACTGGCGGCAGCAACAGCGTTAGCTGATGGCGACAACAACAACAACGCACTTTCGAAGGATAAGCAGCAGCTGCAGCAGGAGGAGCAAATGTTGGCGCACAAATTGAAGGCGCTTTAAGATGCCGCTCGAGATGCTGCACGAATCTGTGCAATACAAAAGAAATTGGTGTTGGTTCAACAAGCAGGCAGCTAAAGAAACAAAAAAATTTAGATTTGGAATTAGTTTTCGGTACAAAGGTTTAATTTTAATTCGAGGGGGGAGCCATAAAAATGTTTAGCTAGAACAGCACACAAATGCCTAAAGAACACAAATAGAAGCCTTAGCCCGCATAGATTTAACAAATTCTGCCAGAACTTAAGCCAGGGCCTATGCAATATATATATGTCTAGCAATAAAGATATGTCTGGTAATTTTGTTCTTTTTGACCATATAGAAACTTTGCTTGATTGCTTGTCATTGTTTAGCTTAGAGAACCATTCGAGAACTGGGTCAACTTAAACGATCTTAAGCCTAAGTGTAAGTCATCTAATTAAGAATCTAAAATATATATACACAAATATATATATATATATATATATATATATATATATATATATATCAATAATTTGCTCAGTTTGGCAAACGTAACTGCTAAGTGTTAATTGTAATGTGTAATTTGTGAGTTTTGTAAATAGATTTTGTAAATGTTAAATGTTAAATATTTGTAGCCGTTAAGCCGTAGCCTAAGCCAACTAGTCTTAGTTACAAAATGCGAACGAACAAACAGAGCAATAATAAAAGTTAAGACAAATATAAAAGAACAACAACAAACCCACGAACACATTCATTTGCTTGCTTTGCCTGATTAAATGGGCAAAGATGGGCGGCATTTCAGAAACAAAAATAAATTAACAAGAAAAAGTGCGAAACAGGTGTGTTGCCCAAGCGCACATATATGACTACTTCTTTTATTTAACATTTAAATAAAAACCAAACGAGAAAATTAAATAAAAAACTAAAAACATATTTGACTATGGTTTGTGTCCCATCTGAAGGTTTCAAGTCAAGGTTCATGTCTATCCTGAAGCTATCAATAAAAACTCCAAATGGTTGTGCACTTTGCTACACTCAATTAGCGCAGCCAACTTCACGGTTGATACACTTTGTGTAAGTTACAAGTATTGCTACTAGATGGCGCACAAATTTTCAGTTTATTTTAAGTAATAACGCTAGATGTCGCCCATTTTCGTTGTCAGAATACTTTGTACGCGTCATTAAGTTACTTGCATTTACCGCTAGGTGGCTTTCACAAATGAAAATTCGAAAATACTTCGCCACCTGGCGAATTATATTTTATATTTTTCGAAGACAGAAGCCGGTGCCAATAAAAAAATGTTTGTATTTTAAGGCAAAAACACATACAGCTGGAATTATATTTTAAAATAAAAATTTCAGTTACGTGAGTGTTTTAAGACTTTATAAACTTAACATGTTAAAAAAGCTTATAACTACTTAAATAGGTTCTTATCAAAAAGAAATTTGCGATAGCGTTTGCAATTTGTATTTTTGACATTCCACCGACTGCGCTATGTTAAGTTTAAAATACTTATGTTAAGCTTAACAGCAGGTTTAGCGCTGATATCAAACTGTTGTTATACTCCCTGAAGTATAAAACTCAATATATTTGCAATGTAGTAGATGAAATAAAAAATTTTAATTAAGTATATTAGCAATTATAGCAAATAAAATGTTAAATGGAATAAAAATATTAAATTTCATAAATTAAAATAAAAATCCTCACATACTCTCAAAGCTGTTATGTAGCAGGCGCCCTCGCTGCCCAGGGTATCTAACAGTCACCAACACACAACAACAGTGGCCGTTTATCTTGTTTAACAGCTGGCTGTTAGTCTTATTGGACAGCTGCGCGAGTGCGGTTGTGTGAGAGAGAGCTCCGGTTGTGCGAAAAGCAGAGTAAAAAGCGAAATATAACAAATTGAATTAAAAGACGAAGCAAATGCAAGTCGAAAAACAAATTGAGGAATATTATTAAAAAGAGCAACGTCGAGAAAATCGAGAACAGCAAACATAGCACCAAAAATGAATATTGATTTTCGTGTTTTGTGACGTGCAAAAAAAAAGAGTAAAAAGAAAAAAAATTAGGTGACAAAAGCAACCACTACATCTTCCAATAAGAGCTAAGATTATCAGTTGGTCTTGCTTGTTGAGCAATTTGCCAATTCCGCAATGGACGCGACGACAACAGCAGCAGCCGCAGCAAAAACAACAACAACAACAACAATGTAGACGCGTTTGTTTAAGTGTTATTAACTAAGGCGAGTGTCAGTGTCGTTCAAGGTGCGAGTGAGAGCGCGCGACAGATGCAATAACAACAACGACAACAACAACAACTACGACGACAACAGAAGCAAAAGCAAAAGTTCAACACTGTTGTGTCTGTGTGAGCGTGCCTGCTTGCGCGCGCGTGTATATGGATGTGTGTGTGTGAGATGCAAAAGGCACACACAAAAATGTGTTCAGCGAATTCAAAATCGTGAAAGCAAAAATAAAAAAAATAATAATAATCTGAAATTAAAGAAAAAAAAAGGCGCCTTAACCGGCAGAACGGACGGCCACTTTGGGAGTGGCCTTGCACTTCGCTTTAGCCATATTCCAATTGGATTCCAAGCAGCAGAAACGCACAACAGAAATATAAAACATATATAAGTAAAATATGTGGATACCATCGAACAACAAATACGGCGTCGGTGAGTAAAACTTTTCAATAATTGTGTGTGTGTGCGTGCGTGTGTGTGTGTGCGTGCGTGTGTGTGTGTATGTATGTTTCAGTCGCATCCCTCGCTTTTGGCCAGGGCCCAACAACACCCCCTGAGCCGGTGTAATCGAGGGTGGCCAAGAGGGGCGGGTCGGGGCGGCTGTGCGACGATGCGTCACGTGCACAGTTACAATGCTTTTTGTTGTTATTGTTGCTTTTGTAGCTGTTGTAGCCATGCGTTGATTCACCGTTTTTTCCGCGAAACACCGTGCAGCATCACAGACAGGCGGCCACCCCAACCCCATCCCCTGCCGACCAACAACAACAGGCACCTCTGCCCAGCCATCCACCCACCCATCCAGCCGCTGTTGCGGCATGCCGGAAAAGCGGAAAAGCGATTTTTCTACTTATTTTTATAGCATGCCCGCTGCCGCCGCTGTCGCTTTTCTGCGCCTCTTCTTCTTTGACTTTTTTCTTTATGCTTTTTATTCGCTGGCAGCGACGAAACTCAAAGAGATTTCTGTTTGCTGTTGTTCTTCCTCATCTTCGCATTGTTGTTGTTGTTGTTGTTGTTGTTGATGCTGCTGCTGCGATTTGATGTGTTTATGTTTTCATTTGCTCATTGCCCGCCGCCCCCTCGCCTTGCCTTATCTCAAACACAATTGGCATCAAGCTCTCGCTGCCGTGTGCCAGGTGTTGCCAATTTAAATGCCTCTGTAATTGCCCAGCAAGCGGCAACGTTGTTGCGGCAGCCACTGTAATTGTGACACTGCCATCGCACCATAAACTCGTTTCTCTGATAACACTCGAGACTAGACTTGAATGACATGAATTAACTGCCAGCTCACATTAAAATGTATCTGTGGCATTAAATACCCTTTAACACTTGGACATTATGCAAAAATATTAAATGAAAAGATATATATATATATATATTATATATGACGTATGTATAGCTGAAGCCAAAATATTAGCTTATATAATCACAATCTAATCGAACTATTTAATCACAATAGTATAGAACTTATGGAAAGTCTTGCCGTCAAAACATATATTTATATACTTTTTTGTTCTTTAAACTTTATATCTTATCGATTTTAACAACTATGTCGTACTAAAATTTTATAAAGTAAAAGCTAAGAACACTCCTTGCATCTAAACTCAATTTACGCGAATACTTGAAAATTGCATTTAAATTTGAAATACGAAATATTTTGCAATTAAAATAAAATTTAAATTTTATAAGAATTTCGTTTTAAAATAAATAAAATCATTATAAATTTAAATATATAAATTTGAATATTTGTCAGCGACTGTTTAGAGTATTCCAATGTCGTTAGCATTCAAATACATTTTTATGCTCAATTTTTACAAATGTTTAACTTGCAGCTAAGTTGCTTTTGTTTATGTTATTGTTGCTGCTGTTGTTTTTACTGTGTTTTCTCCGCAGTCCAGTTTTCTTTATATATATATATATATATATATATATATAGTATTTTTACATTATCAGCACTTTCGTCACACTTTGCGCTTTAATGGGAACGTTTAACAAATGACAATTGCGTCTAAAGAAATTGACTGGCAGCTACTCTAGCTGCCTATGAGTCTGCGCCTTTCTAGATGCCTCTGCATCTTCATCAATAGCAGTCCATTCTCCAGATGCAGCTACTCATTCGTACATCTATAGCCCCTTCTAGATATAAATATTCCTTACTAGCTATCTCTGAAGCTCCATCGTTAACTCTCTCTAAATCTCCATCTATAGTTGGCCTTAAGCTCCATGCTGCCAGTCTAGCTGCCTTTGAATCTTCGATTCTAGCTGCAGCTGAAGCTCTGAATCTCCTCTCTCTTTAGCTCTTCCACTAGATGCGCTAAAATGGCTTTTATAGTTGCCTCTGAAAATTCTTCTCACACCGTCTCACTATATTTCTCTCTCCATCTATTGCGGCCTCTAAAGCTTACTCTGAATATCTCTCACTAGCTGCTTCTATATCTCCACATCCAGCTGCATATATTGCTTCCTCTATCGCTGACTCTGAATCTCCTTTGGCAACTCTCTCTAAATCTCTGTAACAGCATCTTCTGCTGCCATCTACAGCTGCCCCACTAGATGCCTCTTTAGCTGCCTCTAAATCTCTCTCAAGCTGCGGCCTTCATAGCTGCCTCTCTATCTATATCTGCCTCTCTAGCTGTCGCTCTATCTGCCTCCGTAGCTGAAGGCTGGTCAGCAGCTTCACTTCCGTTTGCTGCTTGTGCCCGATAAGCTGTAGTTGTCATCTGCAAATGTATTGTTGATGATGCTGTTGCTGTTGCTCTAGTTTCCACATTCCATGCAACTGCTCTTGATTTGTGACATGGCAGCCAGTCAAAGTTTACACAAATCAATCAGTCAGCCATCAGCTCGGGAGTTGGGCCGGGGGCTTGTCATCCATGCAATGTAAACGCCATTAGTGGCTGGCTGGTCGGGCAGCGCGAACAACGCCCTAACCTTGCACAATAAACGGGGTCTGCGACTGCGGATCTGGCTGTCATCTGCCACGTGCTGGTCGTATGCAGCTTTCGCTTGGCCAATGACTTCATTAACATCCGCATGCCGAGGCCCGGGCACAGGCCCCAGTTCCAGGCCCAGGCCCAGGCACACGTTCTTTGTCTGTTTTTTTTTGGGAAGCAATTGTAAGCATTGTCAGGGTAAACCAATCAGCGCTTTTGTATACCCTGTAACAAGTTGGAACATGCGTGTAAGTGCGGGTATAATTATCATTGGGGGCACGCAGCAAATTTAATTTTGTAGAA